CATGAACCTCATGGAATGTTCAATGTTTTGCTACATAAAGGCAGCTTCCGATGCGAGCTGCAAGATTTCGGTGATGTGGAATCCACGTCAGATTCTCACGAATCATCATCTTTCTTACAAAATCCAGACCTTGAAGCAAACGCCGTAAAGGCTGGTAAAGGTACTGGTGAAAAGGTGCCTTGTATTTGAGTACAAGATCACCAAGGGTAAAAAGAAAAAGACGAGGTAGCCAGCAAAACAAAAAAATATGGATGATCTTTTGACAGGTGCAGATATTTCTTTGTGTAGCAATAAGACCCGAAGCAGGCTATCAAACAATGATCCAAGGGAAAGCCCATAGGATGGAATAACAGAACATAGTCAGGAGGACAGTTCGTGGGAGAATTGACTTAATAGGAAAGAAATAAACGAGAGCATATTGCCTCGTGTGTTACCATGAAGCCCTGGCAAAACCTAGGTTTCAATTATTTGGAACTGCAAACTCAAAACCCTGAAGGTCCAAAGCTGGATACTGTATATGAGATATGAAACATCTCTGGTTAGTCTAATCTCAAGCTACTGTAATCATTATTGAACGCAGTCGACAACATGGAAGAATAAAAAAATTATATCATTTACCAAATCTGATATTAGGACTATTTTGTGATAGTATTTATACGCATAATTTACGTAGGCGGTTTTCAGAACGCCGAACACGTTACAGGGCCGGCGAGGATGCATGCACTGCTGATTTGTCTCCCACTTCACGTTCCTGGTTTGGCATTGGTCCTGTATATTCGATTTTGCCGAATAACATTTTTGCTCCCAGTTTTTCTTGCAATATACCAACGTGCTGATCACGCATTGATCACGCGGTGGGTATTGTCGTCTTGGTATAATGTCTTTTTTCGATTTTTTTACACTGAAGCAGCCGCGCAGGCAGAAGCTTAAATGGCAGGGCACTGTGACTGTTATGAGGAACTTAAAGAAACCTTGTTAATCCAATTTTGTAACTGTTTAAAGTCAGTAAAACTGGGGAAATCCATGTAGATTGTTTCACAATCCCGATACCCTAGGGATAAAGCATACCCTAGGAACAAAGTTCGACACGATTAGGATGGGGGACATCACGCGGGTCTCTCTAGCAGGCACATTGGCATGGAGCAAAGTCCGTTGGCTAGCGGTAGAAAAGGTCTACATTGCCGACGGCACACCAGTACGAAAGGGTCCTGAGATTGTTTGTTAGACCATGGATAATGTAGTCGGGGCAGCAGCACCTCAAACATGTGAAGAGCTGCCGCTATTGATGAGACGTGTTCGTGCCAGATCAAGTCCTCGGTGATCTGGATGCGGACTGGGCGAAATGAACGGGTCTCTAATAGAACTCGGTCATCCTTTGGACCTGGTTGAGCGCTAGGTCGCGTGATATTAGTCAAGGTACAGTACTGTGCTTAGGAAGCATTAAACTATACCAAATGTTTGCCTTTTCAAGCAGTGATGACCTCCAGGTCTCTCGTGAAAGAGAAAGTCGCTGCTGGTCTTCTTTTCTTCAGCTATCTGGCAGAGATCGGCTTGTCACTCGGAAGTCCTGCATGTAGAGTGCTGTAATCAGCAAAGATGTGGATCGGATTAGTCGAACAGGAAAAAAGGTCGTTGATATATAAGAGCAACAATGTCTGAGCCAAGACCGATCCCTGGAAAACATCCGCGTTGGCATTGTGGGATGAAGAGGTGATGTAAAGCTTGTCTAGCAGACCATAGGATGAAGTTTGCATAAAAAGGTAGCATGCTGCAGCTGCAGCAACGATAAATAGACTTATCAATATTATCTAACGTCTCGGATTGTAGTCACTTATTCCGTAGTAAGAGGCGGTAAGTCAGTCTACTTGATGCCATATAATTTTATCTAGATTCCTGGGCACGACAGATGGTGACCTAAGCGTTCAAACATCTCGCCGCGACACACGGAAATGCTGGCTCCAGCCAGACTGAACTGACTGAACAGTCAACATGCAGACATGCTCTTTAATCAACTTGATATGCTAATTATAAGCTAGGAAAAACTACTCGCCTTCTGTTGGTAGCAACAGAATTGCATTGTGTATATTTAGGCTGCTGGTAACAATAGCCTTGTGCTTGCCCCCTATGTTTACAAATCCGATTTATTAAATACAAAAATGAGAGTAGTTCGAGTCAGTTCTATTTAAAACTAAGGCGGTCTGCATATTCGTGACTGTATCATTTCTGACAGAATTAGAGCAACGTAAAAGCTTTTAAAAAGCATAACCGCCAGACGGGACTTTTCACTTGAATTCGTGCTTGTATTTAGATTGGTTAAAATGAATTAGACAGGTCGTGGTTATGATGATTTTTTATTTAACCTTTCTGCAATTATTGTAATTGAACTCCGTAAATTTATTATTCAGAGTCGCTTAATATGTGTTTCTTATTCTTCCCTTATATAGTACAGGTTGCTTTAGCTTTTGTTAAATACAGATATAAGCTTCTCAAGGACGGATCCGGAGCAAACCTTCCTCCCGAACGAATCGAGATTGAGATCTCTTGCTATAATAGCTAATAATATTTTTAATATGCCGTTTTGGATCTTCAGAATCTTTTTGCTTGACTTCATGATTTTCATGCTATAAATAGACGTTTTCCTTCCCACGCCGATTGACGGGGAAGTACAGTAATCGCGAAAAATATATTTTTTGCATGTTCATAATTTTCGCCTGTCTGTCGGTACCGTCCATTAATCGTTAACCCTTCTATAACTTGGAAACATTCGATTTCTGATCAAATTTGGATACATAGTTCAAGGATGCAACTGTGCCAACGACGAAAACGCTTTGTTTTGCAAATCGATCTAGTGGCCGTGGATCTTCGAGTACAAAGCAATAGAAAAATAAAAATCGCTCAAACTTCGCTTTTATTCAGGCTCTTATTTACTTGACCTGTTTTCATGTCAGTAAGTGTAGGACTAATCTTGGAACTGAATGTTGAACCAGTTAACCTTGACCAATTGAGCTAAAATTCTGGATACCCGTTTGTCTTGCGTGACAATACAAAATAAATTACCTGCCAGTATTTTGAATCCAATATGGCCAATACCACAAAATGGCGATTCATCATTTCCATAGAAACCCTATAATAGGGACATCAAATAAAACAGTTGTAGCAATTTGATGGGTGACCTCAGTAATCTCAACACCATAATAACAGCATTGAAACATGAGTTCTCAAGCAAGATGTCCACTTTGGAGGATAAAATTAATGAATTGAGGGCAACAACATGGTCTACACCATCGAGCTTGCTTACTTTTGAAGAAATTATCCAAGAAGTTACTGAAAAAACTGAACGGAAAAAGAATTAGTGGTCTTTGGTTTGCCTGAATGCAGAAGCCAGGATGCAGAAACAAGAATTCAAATTGATAATTTTCAGGTTCATGATATTTTAGTACTTGCTGACTGCTCCACCCAAAGTACACAATTCAAGGTAATTCGTCTGGGCAAGTACACGGATCAGTCTAGCAGGCCTCTCAAGGTCGTGTTTGGCTCTGAGAACATGGTTCACAGCATTGTGAAGAAGTCCAAGAATTTAAGAAGATCCAGTATGCTGGTGGATGTCCTACAATAGTTACTTTAAACTAAATCGCGCACCTGATTGCAGTAGTGATGCTAGTGATACTTGCTGAAAACGTCTATCGATATCAGGTTACTATCAAAACGTACAAGGTCTCAACTCGAAGGTGACTCTTTTTTATAATGCTGTATGTGACTGTGAATTCGATCTGATTTGTTTGAGTGAAACTTGGCTTTCTGACAACATTATGAGTAGCGAATTATTTCCATCGGATTATAGTTTATTTAGATGTGATCGAAAATTCAGTGTTACTAATCTGTCTTTAGCTGGTGGAACCTTGACAGCTATAAAAAATACTTTCAACTTTAATGCCGTGGATGTATCTGGTTTAAATTCGGCTATCCCTCATATAAGCACTGTTGCACTTAAGTTGGTTCTTTGTGATTCTGCTTTTATAATATTCACTGTTTACTTTCCAACGTCTGTAAGTTCAGGAGATTTTGAGCTTTATTTAGATGCATTAGAGTCTTTGATTTAGCTTTCGATCATTCAATATCATCATATGTGGCGATTTTTATGTACCTGGTTTCAACAGTTCCAGGAATGAACGCAAAACTCAGTATATGACTGATTTCTGTTCTTCTGCAAATTTAAGCAAGTTCACTGATATTGTCAATCATCAGGGAAGGTTGCTTGACTTGATACTATCTACTACAAATTTAACTGTTTCTTGAGAAGGTCTTCCCTTTGTCAATGAAGATCTGTATCATCCTGCTCTGTATTTTTAATTTTTTGGTCGCAACATTACACGTGCCTTTGAATTGAATAATTATCCCCGATACAATTTTCGTGGAGCAAACTTTCCTAAATTGTACAATGCCATTGCAAGCATAAATTGGTTAAATTTAGAGGATGTGAGTGATGTTAACAAAGTTTGTGATATATTATATAATAACATTTATCATGTTTTCGATGAAAAATGTACAGAAATTTTACTATAAATCTCGTAAGTTTCCTATATGGTTTACTAGGGATATCAAGAGAAATTTGAAGAAAAAAAATAGATCCAGGAATAACTATAAGCGTACAGGCGATAGCTATTGTAATGACAGATTCAAAGCATTACGATGCACAATTAAAGCCCAGATTAATACCGCCTATTTAGCTTATTTACAAAATACTGAGAACAATATAACTCAAGATCCGAAAAAGTTCTGGACATTTATTAGTGCCAAAAAAGGTATTTCAAGGATTCCTGGTAGTGAGTCGTTCAATGACCACATATATGATTCGCCTCGAGAAATTGTTGATGGTTTTGTTTCATTTTTTTCTAGCGTGTTTTCTCAAGAGGATCTACCAAACAGTTATGATGATTTGCAAGGTTACAACGACTGTTTGAATCTTTACACGATAACTGAAAATGATGTCATTCTTGCAGATAGGAAATTAAAGAATAAGATGCCCTCCGGAGTGGACACTATTCCTAGCTTCATAGTCGAAGATTGCATTCACGCTCTTGCTAGACCACTTTCTGTTATTTTCAATCTGATGGTACGCACTTGTTGTTTTCAGTTAATATGGAAAATGTCTAAAGTATGCCCTGTTTTCAAAACCGGTGATACATCTGACATGACGAACTACCGTCATATTATCATTTTGTGTAATTTTAGCAAATTATTTGAGATAATTATTTATGAGCATATTTATAATTTTTTCAAGCCCCATATCGCTGAATTTCAACATTTATTTGTTTCTGGGCGGTCAACAACATCTAATTTAGCTTGTTTTACCCAGTTTGTTGCCAAGACTCTATATCAACAAGGCCAGATTGATGTAGTTTATACATATATACAGAAAGCCTTTGACCGAGTCAACCATCCCTTATTACTACATAATTTATTAATCTTAGGATTCTCTGAAAATCTACTCTCGCACCTCCAGTCATATCTTTCAGAGAGAGCACTATTTGTAGAAAATGGTGCTTGCAAGTCTAATAATTAAATAGCTACTTTAGGAGTTCCCCAGGAGTCTAACTTGGGAATTTTATTATTTTTAATATTTATTAATGATTTGTCGCTTGAGATTAAATGTCATCATTTATTTTTTGCTAATGATTTAAAAATTTATAAGAATATCGTAATTTCCTAAGACTGTCGATAACTTGGAAGTTATCAATTCATGGTGTTCCAAAAACCTCCTCACACTAAATGTGTCAAAATGTTAAGTAGTAACATACTGCAGAATACGAAATGTTATGCTTTATGATGACTACAGTATTAATCAGGTAAGGATAGAAAGGAGTAACAGTTATAAGGACCTAGGTGTTACATTTGATGTCAATTTCACTTTTAATGATTATATAAATAGCATTAGGTACATCGTCTGTTTTACGAATGCTAGGGTACTGGTCAGGTTTCTCGAACGGTGAAACACTCAAGCTTCTATATCTAGCATACAGCATAAGCAAGCTTGAATATGCGTCGCTTATATGGGCACCTATTTATCAAGACTCTATTAGCAGATTGGAATCTATTCAACGAAGAGCAGTAAAGTTTATGTTCTTTAAATATAATGGTTTCTATCCACAAAGAGGCTTCGACCATAATGTATTGCTCAAAAGTTTTGATATCAAACCGTTTAAAGCACGCCGAAATATTTCCGCTCTGTCTTTTTTGTTCAATTTACTCCACAATAAGGTTTACTGTCCTTTAGAGACCGACCGAAGGCGATTTTTTTTGCCGAAGCCGAAGCCGCAGCCGAACTTCGGTTTGCGGATCACCTTCGGCCTAAACCGAAGCCGAAGCCGAATGTGGTTAAAAAAATATAAAACTAACCATAATTCATAATTTTAATATATTTAAAATATTTATATATTACTACATTTTTAATATGTTTATTCTGTTGAACTATATAATATAATCTAAAACATAATAAAATAACTAAAAAGTACCAAAAAATCATAAAGCATGGTAAAACTAAAACAATATCCTTTGGTAATAGGAAAAAAATAACAAATAACTAAGATTTAAAATTTTAAAATTAATTAATCAAAATTAATATTCAAAATTGAACGTTCTAATATTATAGGTAAGAAAAAGTAGTTCGTCAGCATTTTCCCCTAGTAAATTGGACCTTCGATCAGCATAAAGTTGTCCAGCAGAACTGAATAATTGTTCGCTAGCTATACTTGTTGGGGGGGCCGATAAAAACTTCTTAGCTGCAATCTTTAAAGGAAGATAGGGACTTGATACCCAATAATGGAATATGTCACCACTTCTTAAAAGCAATGGTTCTCGTAAATAGAAATCTAAGTAATCTACATAACATGTTTCTGCTATCGTGGTCGGAACGACTGCAAGATAGTATCATGTGAATCCCAAAAATTATTCTTTTCTACACCTACAGTTTTTATGCATTCTAATGATGATGGAGTTGAAACTAAATTAGCGGAAACTATACTTGAACTTGAATTACTTGAAGGATTAGAGCTACTGGGGGTTGATTTGTTAAAAAATAATACAATTTTAGCTTTACATGTAACTACCTGTTCTTTTGTCAAATACTTAGTATTAAACCGAGGATCAAGAAGAGTCGCAATTAATAATTCTGGGAAGTTTTGAATATAGGCGAATCTTTTATTTAATGATTCACTTAGTTGTAACTTTAAAGAACATATCTCCTCAGATTCATGTTGTTCGGTGCGTAGTTTAGCATTTAGCATTGTTATCAGCGGAATTATTAGTGATACACAAGCAGAGTCGGCTGAAAGATCTTGCGTTGCTTGGTAAAAGCATGTCAAACCTGAAATTATATTTTTGATTAGTTCCCATTCAACTGCACTGGGGACTTCAATGCCACCAAGTTCAGCCATATAAAAGTTTATTGCAATTTTCTGTTCGAATACTCGCTCTAACATTAGATAAGTGCTATTCCATCTTGTTTCTACATCCTGAATTAACAAATGCTTTGGCAAATTACAGGTTTCTTGAAACTGTCTCAGATGCCTGCATGCTTGTTCACTTGTTTTAAAATGCCCTACTATTTTGCGACACTTTTTAATCGTATTTTCGATAATTTCTTGTTTAAATAAAGCATCATGGATTACAAGTTGCAATGAATGGGCCACACAACACAAATATGTAAATTTTGCAATACGCATAGCTGCGATCATATTTGCTGCATTATCTGACACAGCCATATGAATTTTGTTTTCTATTTTAAAATCATGAATTAGTTCATTAAGCTTATTTGCAATAAATACACTAGTATGATCGTCATCAAGCACCATAGCTCCTAATACAACTCTAAGTCGTTTTGGACCTTGAACAAAATGTGCCGTAAAACTAAGAAGAGAACAGGTTTTGGCAGGATTACTCCAAATATCTGTAGTAAAACTCTGAGCTGTAGAAATTAAAGTGAATACTTTGGCTCGGACTCTGTCATATGTAGCTGGCATTGAACTAGTTCGGAAAAACTTTCTATACTTAGGGGACATTTGGATCTTCAAAATGCAGTCGCTGAAAAGCTTCTTCTTCAACAATAGAATATGGTAACATATCAACAATAATGAGGTCCATAATCGATTTGTCAATACGGGACGATACCGGGTGATCATCGGACCATAATGCAGGCGACTTGCGTTCTATTATTTCTTGTAAAGTAGGTTGGTTTGAGTGGTTTGTCCTGGATCTTATTCCTGTAGCGTCATGCGGAGTCTTCATTTTTTCTAATTTTCGCACTTTGATTTCCACTTCGGCGTCACAAACTTTTTTCCATTCTTCAATGTGAATTTTTTGTAAGTGTTTTTTAATATTGGTAGTGGTTTGTTTCTTTGGAATTGAACTGCCAAGTGATAGTAACTTTGAACATATGGGGTTGTCCAAAACGGACGCAGGAAAGTAAACGCATATTAAAACAAGAAAGATTGATATTCAAATCAAGTTGGGTACTTTACTTTGAAGGTTCATTTATACCATTTATGTATGAAAAATAATATCGCTCAAATGTTCACCACGACTGGATTTACAGACGTCCACGCGATGGTCGAAATTTTCAATGACAACATGGTCGGTTCTATGGCATTTATCTCGGCAATGATGTTGTTTTTGAGTTCTTGGAGGGTGGCTGGTTTGTTGACGTAGACTTTGCTTTTCAAATATCCCCGTAAAAAGAAGTCCAAGGGAGTCAAATCGCACGATCTTGGTGGCCATGGCACATTTCTTCTGCGCGAAATCACGCGATCACCGAAGGACTGCAATCGATGGATATTGACGTTGGTTGTGTGGCATGTTGCACCGTCTTGTTGGAAATAAACATCGTCCATATCCATTCCTTCAAGTTGCGGCAAAAAATAGTCCTCTATCATCACGTGATATCGCTCAGAATTGACGGTAACGGCGTCCCCGGCCGCATTTTCGAAAAAGTAAGGTCGGATGATGCCTTTTGACCACAATGCACACCACACAATCACTTTTTGAGGATGTATCGCCTGCTTTTGATACTCACTGGGATTTTCGTTCGCCCAGATGCGGCAGTTTTGCTTGTTTACCGTCCCATTCAAAGTGAAATGCGCTTCGTCGCTGAACATGATTTTTCATGAAAAATTGGCATCAATTTGGCGGTGTTCAAGGAGCCAATCTCAGAACGTTCGGCGCGAAAAATGGTCGGCCCTGACGCAGCTCTTGCGTCAATTGGATCTTGTAGGCGTGTACATTCAAATCCTTGTGGAGAATACGGAGCAAACTGGTTCTCAAAATGCCCAATTCTCGCCTCACTATAAACACAATTAATTGATGATTGACATTAGTTATCTATTTTACTTAATTACAATTAGCGAAGAGCGACAAGATTAGGCGCCGAATTATCTTATGTTAACAAGTACCAACCAAATCCTATGGGTATTTCCGGAACGTACATGGATCGTTGCCGTCGCCGAGCACATCGCGGGGGTGGAGGGAAATTACCGTAGCTCGTTCAGATTCGCTACGCGCCGACGGTCGACGAATTCACTTTCGCCTTCGGCCAAAACTTCAGCCTCATTTTGGCCGAAGCCGATTATTAGCCGAAGGCTTAAATAATGGCCGAATGTGGCCGGAGCCGATGCCGAAGCCGATTAATCGTTCGGTTTTTACTGTCCATATATTTTGAGTAAGATGTCTTAATGTTCCTCGCTTAGGTAACCGTTATTGTACTACATTTTACTATGATTTTTGCCATAGCAATGTCTTGTCCAAGTCTCCCGTGCATAGGATATGTACAATATTCAATAGTATCAGTAACTGCGAAATATTTAATGTCACTAAATCTCGCGTTATCGAACTTTACCTGGAAGAACTTCTAAGGTAGGATATTATGGTTGATTATTACTTACCTATATACTATTATTCTTATCTATGTATGTTTACTATGCTTAATTGATATTTATTGAGATTTCCTGTAATTGGGTGCCTGTTGGAAATAATCATCATTATTATTATCATCAAATAGAAGGGCTTGATGAGAAAAACACACTGAGCAAAGCAACATTAATCTAATTTCAATATGGCAGGCCG